CCAGGTCACACAGAAAATCAATAACTGAGTCAGAAAAAGACCCTGCATCTCCTGGTGCTCAGTGTAATTTCTTCTGCACAGAAAGGCACTGCCAGAGAAGCGCAAGGCTCTGTCACAGGGTGCATCCCAAGGACTCTGTTCAATTTGACAGGATGCTTAACGAAAACATAAGAAAACTCTTACTGTCTACTAAATTCTATAGGGTTTTGCCTAAGGAAAATTAAAGACATCTTTTTCCCAAGCTGTCTCATATACACGCATGACTATAAAACAAGCAACGCAAGCTTGCTTGCTCTTTGAAAGGCAGCAGCTGTGTTGTTCCAAAAATCCCTCCTGAATGTAAACATATTAGCACTGTATAAACAGCTTGATTTAATAAGAAATGCAATACAATATTCCCGCTTTGTCTTTAGGATCACGATGTTGATGGTGGCAATAATTCAAGGTGAATTATGGTATCTGCTTAAAAGAAAGAAAAAGAAAACTCTCCAGCTATAGCCATGAATTAATTTCTTCCTCTTAGCTGAAAATGAGAAATGGCTATAATTTAGTTCCCATTTAAAAGTTGCTGTTGGCTAAACTCTAAAATCTTAATTGCTTCTTAATATTCTCTGCTTATTTTTTCCCTTTGAAACCATAGTCTATAGGACTGTAGTGTTTAGATTAAAAATCAGAATGGAAAACAAACAGTGGAAGGTCACCACTTCCTCCTAAAATATGTTTTTTTCCCCCCAAAATGACAGAACTTATTGTGTATGAAAGTATTTCAGTTGATTTCCCAGCTCTAGTCACCCTCCTGCACCTCTGTGAAAAAGAAAGTGACACTGACCCTGGGTTTACCCCTAAGTGTCAATACTCAGGACTTGTTCAATTTGCAACAGAATGTAGTGGAAGTTCTAGAAAAGACATGTTTCAAGCCATATTACGGCTCAGCATACCATAGGAACTCGCCTTGTTACAAAAAACTGAAGTCACACTCAATCCTTAAATAGTTTGGAGGTCACTACCCAACACACTCTGCAGTTCTCGGAGCTCGCAGAAAAGGCTGTGAGAGTAACAGTGGCAAAGACTTAAGACAACCCAAGTAAAATTTTAAACTGACCTTGAAGAACTGCAGAAAGATCTCATGATAGTGAGTCTGGGTATAAAATCACAGATGCAAAACAAATGCCCAGAAATGCAAAAATAATGTGCTTGGGAAACTGTACCTCTCAATGCCCACGTTTTAACGGGCTCTAGACAAGCTAGCAGTGCTCCAGCAAAGATCCTAAAATCCCAGTGAATGGTTCTCAAGAATACTCAGTGGTTGTCCTTACAGCACACAAATTCAGGAACCAGTATGTAAGGAAAGAAAGCAGAAAAAGTACCATTGTGCCACTGCAGAAGCGAATGGTGAATCCATATGGTGAGTAAAACAAGGATCTGGTCTCCTCATCTTTTCTGTCTGCTAAGACTCAAATTCTCAACTAGATGCTAAAAGAAATCAGTTTCAAGCTCTAGAGGTCCTGGGAGCAACAGTCCCCTTCATCATGCCCGTGACAGCTCCAGGATCAGCCAGGCCAGCTTTTCCTCAAGAGGAATCAAAGATGTGCAGAAGCAAAGTGAAACTACAGCCGTCATTGTCCCTCCTGCCCAGGAAGCCCAACTGCCACCCAGCCCCCTCGGATGTCAAGGCTCCTGGTCACCCTGTGATTGTGCTCTCCTCATTTTTCTGGGATAAAAGGCAGTGCAATTTTTGCAGCTTCATTATGCTGACCTAGTTTATTTTCCACTCTACCAACTTAAAAATCACACATCCCTCTTTGCGCAGCAGTGCCATTAAAAGTACTGAATTCAGGAAACTTTAGTAGAAAAGTAATTCAGAGCTGCTGCTTGCCTGCAAATTCCCATCCCTTTTCATTAGTGAGACGGCCACCATGTGAAAAAGATGGAAGTGACCCTTTCTCTTAAACATCACTCATGTTCTTTCACCATTTGTCCAAGATCCATGTGGAAAAGGGACTGAGAACAGCAAATTACCTCTGCAAATAAGGGAGTGTCGTTCAGAAACGGCACAGATCATTTCCAAATATATTCAATTACAAGGAGTCTCTAATGAACCCAGCATGGAAGCTCAGCAGATAAAAAAAGGAAAAGCTTCATCAAACAATGACTGTTTCCTATCACTCTCCTGTTCAAATAAAGGGAACAGAAAATGAAGCTTCCTTACAGCAAGTCATCTTCACAAAACTTATTTTTTGATGTATTATGGAATGAGCTACGAAGAGTCCAAACAGAGATAAATGCTTTGCCAGACCTTCACAAGAAACTTCCCTGACTCCTTATTTCGGTCCCTGGATAATAGGGCACTGATGCGAGGGAAACAAGCAGAAGGCTTCTCTCTGCTTCATTGTTCTGCTTATGTCACCTCTGGTCTCAAATCATCTAATTCCACAAATGCTCAGAAACGCGAAAGTGAAAATATCATTTGTTTTACCCTCAAAATGTATTGCCAAAGGGTAACTATGTCTCTTCTGCTTTTTCTAGTTCTCTGGGTTTTGTTTTGTAATGCTTTTTCTCACACCAAAACAAAGAACTGCTGTGCAAGAAAAGACCCCATGGTCCAGCACGCCTGTCCCCTTGAGGGTTATCCTTTCATCAAGTGTTTCTCTGCTGTGCACTTCAATACCATGTTTCCCTTACTGAAATATCTGTCTCAAACTCGTTTTCATGCCATTTGCTTTGATGGTGTTATTTAGCAAATTATTCCATATGTTGCCCATTGCATTTCAAGCAAAGTATTTCTTCCTGAAAATCCGAATCACTGTTCCTTTCAAACTTCTAAATTAGACTCTGCAGTGTTTGAGAATCTCTTTTTTCCTTACTTTAAAACACTGTCAGAGATAAACATTTTATTTTTTCCTAAGGAAAGGCAATCACACTGCAAAGGGCACATGAAATGCTGTGTTGCCGCTCCAGTGACATGGTTTGCACAATGTTACTGTGGACAATCTGTGTTCTAGTTGCTTGTTGATTTATCATAAAACACATTTTTAATACACTCCCTGCATTTGTTAAAAATCCTCAGAAGTAAGAAGATAGATACACTTTATTTTGAAGCTAGTACACATGTGTTCTCAAGTTTGATTATTGTTTCTCAATTTGTTGCTTTGTATTTATCAAAAACCTTTGCCTGCTACATGACATAATTTCCATTCTACATTAATTTTTAACCTCCACCTTTTTTAGTATCAATTTTTGGCAAAAAACCTGATCTACTGATCTTAAGGGTATTAATTAGAAACTCATAGTTTTACCAAACCCACTGATGAATGTTAACTATTGATGCATGCTATGGAGAGCAGATAAGAAACAACTATTGTCCACATGTAAAAAAACCCAAACACTATTGCAAAAATAATTTGGTTTCAGCTAAAGTCTTTGTTGACTTATCTTCCTTGATTTATCTGTGTGTGTTGGCTATTGCGAAGCAAATAAAATGTTATGAGGTGGATGGTTAGGAATTTTGAAGATATATTTAAATTTAATTAACATACCTTAATTTTACTAGAGTAAAATATTTCTACAACAGAAACTAATATTTATCAAAAGTTAGTCTCTAACTGTTGGTCATTAAACCAGTACCTCCCAACTTTAATATCTTCTCAAGGATGGTACTGTTACTCTTTGAGCACATTGAACACTAATTTTGCAATTATTTCTCTTGATCCATTAGTGAAATTGCAAAGAAATGGAAATGTTTTGCAAACAGTGAGAGGTACCAATATTCCTCTAGATAATAGCTGTTAGCATTGCATTTCAAAACATTTTCTCTGTAGAAGAGCATTTTGTATCCACATGAGCCAAATATTACAAACCCCTCATTACAGTGCTTCAGGATATACCATATCCTTCCAGGGCTTGACTGGTGCGAATGTGACCAAGTTTAGTCTTTCAAATGAAGAAAATACATATTGAAACACAGGACACTACAACGGGATCTTCAGAAGCTTTTTAATTTCAGTCTGTGTGCACATATCACTGCAATTTTATTCAGTGTCTTACTGCAAGGATGTTAATTATTTGCAAATATTAATAGAAATGATTTTCATAAGGCTATTGTCATCTATTTATTAATTATTTCAAATGTTCTCAGCCTCAGTAATTTGGCCAATTAATTGTCAGTGAAATGGGTGCACTGAAAAATGACTTGGTACTTTTTTAATTGATTCTGCAAATATAATGATCAATGGGCTGGTATTTCTCATCAAAGCTACTTTCCTGTGTCCCATCTAATAAAATAATTCCTAAATACCTTGTATGTGACTAATCCCTGGTTAATTTTAGCTTCCAGACAAATGAGGTGTCTTTGGGTTCTGGTTCTGACTTAAGCAGGTGCTGCAGGTTTTAATTTACTCTAAATCAAATGGAGATGGGTTTGTTGATGCTAATCCTAGTCTCCACCACTGAAGCAATGTCCACTGGTGTGAGGCAATCTTGACTCTCAAGACCTTGCAGGCTACACTTCTGAACACCTCACCAGTGCTAAAGAACTCTGACTCAGAGCATCCCTACGGAATGTGAAACAAGCTTAGTCCCCTTACTTGAAGCACAGTCAAAGGAAGGAAAGAATTGCTTAAGATTACACAGGAGGTTTGTAGTAAGGACACCCATGGAACCAAGGCCAGTCTCACTGGGCTTTTCTGCCACAACAACTTTTCCTGAAGGCCAAGACAAAGATAACTGTTTAGAGCTACTTTGGAGGCACTAATTGTGAAAATATTTGTCGCCATTGCTGTTGGCTCTACCATTACTAGAGCCCTACCAAGCCCATTTTCATGACACAAAAATCAATATTTAAGGCAGCTGAACAGTTAGCCAGCAAAGGTGTTCTAGCATCCAGAGAGTTATCTAATGCATCTATCACCACAAAAATAAAAAACACAGGGTCATATTAAAAACAGCACCTGAAATGTGTTTTAAATCATAATCAGTTTCCAGTGATAAGGAAACAGGCTCACCTCCAGTAGACAAGCACAGCGATGAGGAGAATGAGGCACACAAAGGTCAGTGCTGAGACCACAATGAGTGGGATGATCCATTCCATCTTACCAGGAGAAGGTCTCGTGGCCATGCTGGAGCTGTTCTTGCCAGCTGTGTGTTAAACAAATAAGAAAACCAGTCACTGAATGGAAAAAAGAATTACTGCACGGAAAACCGTGTAAACAAAACAAATAGCTTATCCATTTTACATGGTAAGAGTAAACAGAGCAGAGATCCTCTAACTGCAGGGTGGGACTCCATTTGTCTTCAGTCTGAGACATGAGAGCACAGAAGTATGGTGTTTATTGCCACATATGGCTTGGATTTTACTACTGCCTGTAATTACGGTCTCATAGACACTTTTAGGACTCTTTTGTGCAAGCACCTATTATCAGATGTGGAGTACCCCACTGAGCCATTTCACCACGGCAACTAAGTAAACGCTGTGCTCCGTCATCAGTGTTTGCAGATAAATGCACTCTGTTTCTCAATACTACAGGACAGCCCTGTTTGCAAAGCTCAGTGTAATACTTTGCTTCAGAAATAAATTTCTTGGTAACTATCTTAAAATAAAAAATCCTCAACATGTTGGGTGTCATGTCACATCATTTGCAGAATTGTCACAATCTGGTGGGTTCCTGCATACGAAAGCACTTTTTAGCATATGGATTGTCAAGATGGGTGGATGAATGAATGAATAGGATGTGTTGTAACCGACAGAAGAAATCATTATGCCACAGCTTTTGAACGAAATTAAAGTTCGTCAATATCCTGAGATCTAGCCGAGTAACTCTGCTTCACTTTTTGCATGACATCTCATTAAAATGATTGTATCATATAGAAGATGAATATCTAGAGCTTCTGCAAGTACTGGAGCCAATGAGCATAGACACTGTACCAATGTATTTCAAAAGACACCTAATTTGTGCAAATTCGTGTAGACTCGATGAATAAATTGTTTTAGACAGAATGATAGAAGAAAAATGCAGCAGCGGATTCTCTATCTTATTCATGTTTCCTAACAAACAGGCAGTATCTGATCAATACCTGCCAACAGGACATAATGGAAAAGGATTAGTATAAACAGCTTCAGATTTTGAGGATTGAAACATGCACACTTGACTTCTACTTTTAGCCTATGTGAGTCTTTCCTTACCAACATGATTCCTTGCCCTTGTTCAGTATTGCATTATCATATCTTCTGAAACTGCTGCAAATCCTACCAGAAGAACGTAATTGCCTTTTCACCATAGGCAGGCAAAACACAGATAATTGGAAGTCACCAGATGTCACATAATATGAAGTCATACTCTATTTTAATAGCATTTAGATTATACTCCTCGGTAGGCAGGAGTAAAATTCAACTAACGTGGAAGTAAAGGTTAATTGTAAATGCTTTTGCCTGACTGCTGAAAACAGAGCAAGGCTGCAGGCTGCTGCAAGCCCAGCAAGAAATCTTTCTAGTTTTAAGAACTAGGCTGATAGAGGTAATGCCCTTTAGCAAGCAGTCTAAATGAGGTGCTAATAAGAGGGGTGTTTGGGGGAACTGAATGTGCACTTTGATTGAACATCTCTGATTTCCTTGACTAAGAAGAGTAAGGAAAAAAAAAACCAACCCCAAAATTAAAGCAAAGGCTTATTCTCTGTATTTGCCAAACTTACAAAATTGTAAGTCTTGAGGCATCAGTTTTTACCAGTGCATTTCAAATCATTTATCAGCATGGGAAAAGTAAGCCTGTGAAATAAGTCTAATCAGAATGGTAAAAGGGACAAAGCAAAAAAAAAAAACCACGTGATGCAATAAAACTTCATAGGAGAGCCAAGTAGTCCTACCACCTTACGTCCATTAGGGTGTTGCTTCAGTTCTCTCCAAAGACAGTACTCTGTTTAGTTTCACCTCCACATCTTTCAACACAAAAACATATGTTTCTGTTTGCATGGGAAGAAAATTAAATTCCATTGTAAGCACAGCATGGGCTGGAGTCCCAGTGCACACCATTAAATTCTGCAGTGCTCACGATGCTCCTCTTACTCAGTCTGTTGTGGAGAACACACTTATCTGCCCCTGCCAACTTCCAGTACCACAGATGTGAGGATAAGAAAGTGTGCAGAGTGCCAGAATAGCAAATGCCATTCCTGCACGCTGATGGCTGGCCCTGAAATTCCAGTTGGGAATGCCCAAGCAGTGATGTGCTTCAGAAAAAAAGACACAGTTCCTGTGCTGGTTTTGAAGAAAAAGTCTTAGGTGTTTTCCACTGCTTAAATAAGAGAGAGCTTAAACAAACAGCATATCCTTGTAATGGTGCCCACCACAAGCTGTACTTGGTGGTGGCAAGCTTAAAAAATGGACTAGGAAACTCCATTTTTGCTAAGAAATGTAAACAGTTTCCAGTGGCATATGCCTTCGTTGAATTAATTCAGTTTGCCTTTTACTGGCTTGGAATTCATCCCAGTAGGAAGGAATAAAAATTATTACAGTATATCTGTTTCAGGAGGTCCCACATGATACAAGCCCTGGCACTGCTAAATCTACTCCTGCGTCTGGAAAAATCCGTAACTTCTGTGAACCACCCATTCAGCAGTTCCACCCAGGCACTGGATGGATGAGCCCTGGCACAGGGAGTATTGGATGGCGTCAGGCAGCGAGGGAAGCTCTGGCAGTGCAACTCTTGCACAAAGGTCAAGGTAAGACAGAGGCTTCTGCCACTTGTGAAATGTACTTTTTTTCCTGTGGATTCTTGGTAATTGGTTCCTGAGAAAAGAAACATGTTTATTTCCCTTAAGTAACACTGCTTGCTATAATAAGCAACCATAGCTGTACTATATAACCTATCTACTTTTATCATTCCTCATCATTGCACAAACTGCCAGGACAAAGTTCTGTTTGTTGTACCATTACAGATACCATTAACCAAAGAAAAGCCCTGCTGCTGAACTGCCTCAGACCACATGGCCTCTTAAAAGACAGTCCACTTGCTCATCTTTCCTTTGAATAAATGAAGTTATGGACTTATACAAAGGTATTAAATAATTCTGAAAAATAGTATTTGCCATATTATTAAACGATGAAAAGGCAAAACAAAACCATGTTTTTTAAAAAATATATTACCTTTGATACAAGCTCATGTCATTGTGCAGCTATTTTTTTCCTATTTCTTTAAATGCATTCCTGCAATGCTCACAATTACAGGCTGTGCACAGCCAAACATGGCTTTTCACTGCTTTGTAAACAGATGCCAATCATATTTACTCATATGTCTGAAATTCATAGTTTGCAGACATGAAATAACTCAATTATTTTATTTTCAAGCCATTCTGCTGTTTCCTCCTGTAAGCTGCAATGTGAATCTTTGAAGATATTTAAAAGCTGTCGGGGCACAATCCTGAGTAATGTGCTCCCTTCCTGAGCAGTGAGGCTGGACTAGCTGACTTCAGTGGTCCCTCCCAACCTTATCCACTCTGTGATCCTGTGTGAAAATGGCTCAAGTGCTACACGAAAACACAGCTTAATAATCCTCGCTGCGTATGGAGAAGAAAGAATTACACAGATGTTTAATTATCTTAATGAGGTTATTCCCAAAAGGCTATTGTAACCTCAGACCTGGCAAAGACTGCTCTAAAACCCAAAATTCAGTCTCTGTTAAAGGCATACACCAGGCTTGAAATTTAACCCTGCACATCATCTCTATCTCTACAAAGCCCCCTCGTGGGAGGAACTCAGAAGAAGTGGGTGAGCACTGAGGGATGGAGAACCTGGCTGAAATTTGGATGAAGAGCCAAACCTATGCTTCTGTTCTCAGTCCCTGCTCACCACTCAGGCAGAAGTCCCAACTGGACAGATGTTCCTTTGCCCACAACAGCCTAGTCGTTATCTTCTGTCAAAAACAAAGGATCTGTTTAACTGTCTGGCACAATCAACCAAAATTCTGTGGGGTTGTATCTTCTCTAGCCTGGTGAAACTGAATCATCCAGGTTTTCATTTTTTTCCCTTGCTTTTTTTTTTTTTTTTTTTTTTTTCCCCTCCCCATTCCCCCCCAACCCCCCCTCTGCCCATAGGGTATCATTCTAATTGCTGTTTTTCTAATTTTCAGGTTTCAGAGTCACGGACAATGCTGAGCAGCTGTGTGTGTAACAGTTGCAGATCAAAGGTACAATTAGTCTAATGTGGGCACCAAAACAGAGAAAAAGGATGATCAGGAAAATGAAAGAGGAGAATGCAAGCAAGCATTCGGTGACAGAAGAAAATCATCAGCCCTGGCTGGTACCACCAGACAAGAAGAGGCCAATGCCATTTGGAAAATAATGACATGGCCTCAGGAGAGGTGTGTGTATGTGTGTGTGAAATAAGCACTAAAAGAAAATGAGCCTTGCTGTACTAATTGGCCTTGCACTTTCCCTGTAATTTCTCATGAGTTCCCTGTTCTCCTCTAATCATCCACACTCATGAGTACTTCCCCATTCAGTTATCTCCTTACAACTGCTAATTTGATGCTATATAATTAATTTTACAAGTGTACATTGTTATGAAACAATTTTCTACTCTTTAAAATGATTAAACTTTCTACTCACAAAAACAGTTTTGAAACCTTGACAGCTTTTTAAAACCTGCTTTCTGTGAGAAAAAATGCACCCAAAAATGTTTCTGCCCTCACAGTGAGACACAGTAAACTGCAAGGGTGCTTTTTGCTCACTTTGGATGTGGTCTCAACACTCTTTAACTGTCCTGATGCTCAAAAACCCTTTCAGACACTTCTGACAATGCCTTTTTGGCTTCACTTGTCTTGATTTCAGATTTACCTTGTTACGGAAAACCTTTAAAGCCATTTCTCATAGATAAGGTCTTGCTACGGCTGCAGTTTCACTGAACTCAACTGGCATGAGGGAGGTCAGGTCTGTCTGTATAAATTGAAAATTTCCATACTACTGTGGAAAACAATTAAGCTGAATCAACTAGTCTTAGGCTTTGTGCTAGTCTAATTCACCAGTCTGTGTCTTTGGTAACCTAGATCGAGCCTGGAAGAAAGCTCCTTCTCCTGGATTCTTCTCACAGGGGCAGCACTCCCAACAGGCCAGACAGGCCCTATTTGGACACATTTAGTGAAATATTTGGGCAAATTCCAGGCTAGTTAGATCTCATCTATCAAAGCCTGGTGGTTCAAGATAAAAAGAAAAGAAGGACTTGTCTGAAGAGACTTTGAAGGACAAGATTCTCACACATGGTACAAAGAGATTCAGACTGAGAGACTCCATTCCAAAGCCAGTAAGAAACACCTCAAAATGTTCTCACTAAAAATTAGCCTTTCCCAAAGTCTGGACAGGGACTCACCAGGTTTATGACCAACCTAAATTTTTTCACCTGGAGGTCATAGATAGGGAATGAGCTCCTACTTCAAGAAACCGGCACAAATGGGTCCTTCTTCATCTCTGAATAGCCATTCCCAGCCCTTTTGCTGTTGAGTGTCCTTTTCAGGACACTGAGGGATCTGGGAGAGGCTTGCCTGAGAAGCTGAAAAATGGCACAGTTCCTTCTCCTCATCTTGGGTAGTTCACCAGAGGTTTAACTGCAATTTAACTAATTTGCAATAAACAGGCAACTCTCACTCATCTTTTTCCCCATCAAACATGTGCTGATTATTTCAGATATAGTTTCCTACACATGGAAGCCACTTTTTAAAGACACAGTGATCACAGTAAGTTATCCTTCCTCCATATATAGGTACAGAAAACCTAATTTGCAGGGTACTTTCAAAACTGATTGTCTTTGTTGTAGTCTTCAGGCACAGTGACTTCAAGCCATCAAGCCTGGAAGTGAGCAAAGCTCTAAAAGAGGCTGTCTAGTAGGAGGCAAAGCTGTACTGGACCACTTTCAACAATAGTTCTCTGCATGCTAAAAAGAGACAGACTAAGGGGATATAATTCACTATAGCTAGTATTTCTTAGCAATATTAAAAATATTTTCCCATCTCATTGATTTTAGTATTTTTATCTTATCTTCACTACGGAATTATTAGCAATCTCTTTGTCGCAAGTTAAGAATTAAGGCCAACTACTCATCTTTTTTTTTAAATTTTTTAGGGTGAGAACAAGCCATGAGATCCTTTCTAGGTCTTATATAAGAAACATTGTACTTGGGCCATACAAGAAACTGGCACATGAGAAAAAGGGAAGCCAAATGCAGGAAGAACTATTTTAGAAGCAGGTTTATCCATGCAGATTGAATTGCTGGGCTTTGAACCTAACTGGTGCTGAATGCTTACTCCTAATATTGAAAAGTTCCCTCCTTCCTGACAGAAAGTGGCACATTGAAAGCTTCCTGACAGGCATCTCAGACCATGTTCAGTGGGAGCACTGAATTTTGAAGATTTCCAGTTGAGAAGTAAGAAAAACAGCACTGTTTTCAAAAAAATCAGCACAATTTGGGTGCAAGTTTCTTGTCTTCTGCATTGTTAATCTGATCTCTTACAGAACAGTTATGATTCACCGCGTTAGAGTCAGGTCAGCATTTCTGTAACAAATGTTATTAAAGATTGGATTAAGCTTTGTTTGTTAAATTGGTTCCGAGTTATAACTGAGTGCACAATATCTGCATTTTTGTGTTTATCAGTGTAGGGAAAAATAAATATGCAAGGTTTTTTCACAGTACTCTAGAGCAGCTTTGATGGAAAAAGAAAATTACAAAACACTCCAAGATTACCAAAATAAACAATAAGAGTAAAAAAACCCACGCCGAACAAAAAAAGTGCACTATCTCATAAATGCTGGTGGTAATACACATAATCACTCATATAAACTTGTCACCATATCTAAATCCCAGTATTTACTCTGCAAATAAATCCACACATATGTGCTCCATTTGCTCCTTGCAGTTTTCCTCACCAGTGCTTGGAGCTCCCCGAACAGAAACACGTGTGGACATTCCACACTTTGGTAGCACCATGAGATTCCTGTTTCCATAGGCCAGACTGGGCTTGGTGCACATGCAGATCACCTGGGCAGGCTTCCAAAAGCTTGTATTTGCTGAGTACTGTGGAGTTGGTACATAAACCCAGAGCTGGTGTGCACAGGAGCACTGGCAATTCTCATCAGGACAAACAGACAATATGTGAACACTGCCTGGCTAAGATTTTTCCTTTCCACAGGAAAAAAAAAAGAACTCCAGTGCAAAACGTGCCTTGTTTTGGAAGATCAGAGCATGTAGGTTTTGTGGTGAGAAATAAAGCAGCAATGTTCCCATATTTGGGAGAATATCTCAAAGCCCAATCAGGGAGAATCCTGCAGATAAAATAAATTAGCTTGCAGCATATATAGCAAATTTCCTATGAAACACCAGTTTGGCACAGCAGCCGCTCTTCCAAATTAATTTTCCAGCTATGGTTCACTGCATTCCTCTCTCTTTTTCTTTTAAACAAAATTCTTGACGCAGCACATTGGGGGTTAACATTTTTGCAAATTTTCTTTTGTAGTAAGTAAAAAGGACCATGAATCTGTCCCAGTAAAAGAAAATTATGTTCCTTTCCCCTCTGCTACCCACCAGTAACAATTTGTGGATTGGGTCCTCTGACAACCTGCCCACTGGATGAAGTCAGGCACCACAAAAATGTTTTATCTCCTGGAAATCAGTAAGGAATTTGGATTGTGTCCTTTTCCAACACTCTTATGCTGGTAAAACCAGTTTTCCCTGGAGGTCACTCACCTGGATTAATGGTGATGAATTTGTTATCTGAGGGGTATTCCTCTGGAAACCTGTCCTCCTTTGGAGGAGGTTTTCTTGTAGTCTCTGGTCTTCTTGGGATCTTGCCCGGGTACAGTTCATCGGTGAACGCTGGTGGCACTTGGGTGGAAGGGAGCGGCTGGGGCTGAGTGCTGGCTTCATCCAAGTTCTCCTCCTCGGGACCTCCAGCCGCGGGGGCAACGTTTTGGTTTGGCTCTTCACCCGATATGGTTTTATTTCCTTCTTCCTCAGCAGTCCGGTTGGGGGAAGCCACGGCCACGCCGGGCTCCGTGCTATTGCGCGCCTCCCCGGCTGCCGTCGCCCTGTTTCTCTCCTTCTTCTCAGCATCCTTCTCTTCCTCTTCCTCGTGCTCCCGCTCCCCGTCCTCACTTTCACTCTTTTCATCCTTCTCCCCCTCCTCAGCTCCCTCGCCATCCTTGGTCAGTGCCGAGTCCCGCTCCGGCCCTGGGGAGGCGGCGGCGGCCTCGGTGGTGGCCACCACGGGCCGTCCCGCCTGTTTGCTGGGGGCGGCCGCCGTGGGCAGCCGGGTGGGCCAGACGCTGCTGGGGAAGGAGGAGATGCCTCCACCGCTGAAGCCCAGCCCTGCCAGCAAGGTGCTGGTCACCACTGAGGCCACGGTGGCCTGGCTGCCGCTGGAGGAAGGCCCCATCCCTGTGGCCATGGACACGAAGGAGAAAGGGAGCCCCGAGGAGGTCCAGGTGGAGGAGCCGGAGCTGATGGGAGCCATGTCGGCTGAGGAGGCAGGAGATGCCGTGGGCTTGAGGAGGTCACCGGCAGCAGAGGGGAAGAAAACACAGCAGAGAACATCAGCAGGGGCCCAACATGCTACCTGGGGTCATTTTTCTTTTGCTTTTCCCTCCCTTTCCACACATGTGCCATTCTGGTTGCTGTTCTCTTAAAGCCAGACTCCCACCAGCTGGATGCAGGGCTGAGCCAGGACAGGACAAGCCAAAGAGCTACCAGCAAACCACAAAGTGAAGAAATCTCCCTGAATTTACCACACCATCATCAAAACCCTCTTTATCCTTATCTTTGTTTTACATCGGGACCTTCTCCACCCACGTCACCGCTGACTTGTGAGTAACGTTTCCTCTCAGGGGTGAGGAGAATGTAAAGGAGTTTAATGAGTTTAGCTGCATTACTCACAGTGCTTTAATCCTCAGAATACAGAAGTTTAAAAATACAGTGTTACATAAGGACTGTCTCAAAATAATGGCTGTGCTGCCAACGCGAGCATCCATGGCTGGTGGGTCTGTTCTGACAAGGAACCCTGGGTCTTCCCACACACATTGTGAGGCCCTCAAATGGTACTATTTTTATTACATTAATTTACCCATCAGCATTATTCCCCTAAGGACTGATGCTGCAGGGAGGTAGAAAAGAGCAGCAGCACGGCCAGCTGGGCAGTCATGAAGCACTTGGAGAGCATCAGAAGCCCTTCAGCAAGCCACCACTACCTCTGCCAGGACCACCAGGCTGCAGCACTCATGTATAGACTCGGTTTTCTACAACCACAACCCTCCCTGGCCACCACCAGTGACCCAAAGCCAGGCCTGACACTGCCCACTTCTCTCAGGGAGCTGAGAGGAAGCAGGGAATGAGCTATGGACTTTGCATCCTCTGCACCCTGCCACTGTTATTCGAATGTCAACCCAGTGCACACATGCTTGCATGCAGGTCTCTGTGCACACATGTGCTCTACTGGAAATAAAAGCCTTTGATATATACATAAAGATCTAAACCTTGGTCTATACATAAGGAACTAGTCATTCCCCTTCCTGAATGTGGAAAAAGACACTGAAGAGTCTGACACCGAATTGACTAAAGATGAGGAATAATTCTGTGGAAGAGCTGAGCCAGCAGTTCTGCCTGGACAACCTGACCACCCTCTCTGATTTAGTGGAAAATGTCTCACGTTACAGAATTCAAGACAGAGAGGACCATTGGCTGGAAAGGTACACACCAGATGAGTACAAACAAGGGTTAAATAGGTGCTACTGAACAGTTTTTAAAAAAGTAAAGTGTTAATTTCTGAAACTGAAACGTATAACTTCACAGTATTTCTGCATCTCTCTGCAATTCCCAGGTTCAGTTGGGCCATGTAATTGAAATGCTGCAGCAAACCAAGAAAGGCTGCTTTCTCACGTTATTTTTGACCAGCTGCAATCACAGAGAACCTGAGATCTCAGATGAAAAGCCGTGCTTTAGAGATTTCAAGCCAAAACTTTAAATAAGCATCTAAACTTTCAGATACTTATCAATGTGAATCCCTGCGGCACTGTGAGATTTGCTTTTCACTGGCATGAACAGTCTCAAAGCTGGACTGAGTATTAAAATTTGACAGCAGATTTTATATGTCTAGAATACCTCTATACATCATTAAACAAACATTAATCATTCAAATGCAAGCTTTGTAAGTGTTATTTGCTTACTAGGGAACATATCAAACTGGAACAGAATAAAACCAGAAGCAATGTACTTAGAGTAAGTTCAGTACTGTGAATCCAGCCCATAAATTTGATGGAATAATTCAGTACACTGAACGCCAAGAACTTCAGGTTATGGATAGTTTATGTTAAATAAACTATTAAGATGCTTTCAATATGGAAACAGTGTATTCCAGTTTTACTGCAAATATACCAGCATTTCTGATTCTGGAACACAAAAGTTGGCTTCAGTGACTTGTGAATTAAAATTCAAACAAAGAGATTGTTGAGGCTTTATTCACATAATAACAGGTATCCTTAGAGCATGGGAAGAGTAAGGATGATGTGTGTGAGGCCTTATTCCTGGTGCTTACACTTCTGGTCATACAGTTAACAAAAGAAATTCAATTTATTTCCACAGTCATCATTAAGATTACAAATTCCCTCTAAATGGGTTGAACATAGATTTGGAAAGATTTTTTTTTTTTAACACTCGATTCTTCAGTAGTCAAAGCCTCTCAGAGCATGAAGCTAGAAAACCAAACCCCTTCCAATATTTCATATTGGAAATATATTGCCTGTTATAAATCCTTCTGCGGTGGGTCTGAACACCCCCCTCCCCAGGAGAGCTGGGTCCTGCCGCAGATTTCCAACACCGTGCTGCCACCTGGTGGGAATGTCCCCAAATCCCAGCTCCCCAAATCCACGACTTACCACTCCTGTCTTCACAATTCTGGTCCCCTCGAAAATTCGAGTGGTGTTAGCTGAGGGAGGAAGAAGAGCAGTGTGTCAGTGGGTTGGGAAGGGAGGCAGCGATACAACTGCTGAGCAACTGCTGAACATGCTGCTACAAAACACAGATGCAGGTCTCAGTCTGGAGCAAGAGCAACTCAGCTTGGCATTACTCACCTTACTTTGTACATGTGCCTAAAGACAGACTTGCTTGACTTTAATTACTTAGGCCCAGCAATGCCAGTTTAGGTGCACTGTCAGAAAACACACTCTCTCCTTCAATCTCAAACTGGATGAAACATCCTGGCTTACACAGGAAGTGAGTAGCTGATGATAATAGTTTTTCCTGTCCTTATCATTATTTATGGCTATATATCTCAACTACAACCATAATCAAGCTCTGAATAATGTTTTGAAAGCTCAAATGGATTAATTTTCTAGGTTAGATTTTGGGTACAGCCAGAGATTAGAACAGCAGATCCTTTTTGGGGACATGTGGAAGGAATCACATCATCTACTCCCATTGCAGATGCATGAATCACTTCCACTGCTTTGAACAGTGGGCTAGAATGCCCCAAAAACATCCAGCAAAGCTGTCAATAATGACTTACTCCTAACTGTGATTAAACAGGTATCATGGTCAAATTTCAAAGAATTTTTTCATTCTGTCATCTGCTGAAAGAGGTAATAATCAGCAAAATACCAGTTTCTGACTTCTGCCTGGCACTTACAGTCAAATCCAAAACACTGTGTTGAGGTACTAAGAACAGAGAGCTACATATGAGATGTAGGTTGGATAGGACACTTCTTGTCTGACCCCTGCTGTCCCTGCAATGCTGATAACACTGTGGCAGGGCACCACAGAAGTAAACTGTGTCCACTGATTGATATCCTTCAGATACTACATGCTAACAGAGTAGGATTAACTTGCCCCCCCCGCCCAATTTTCCAAAAATGACACAGAAAAACGTCTCTATTATTTTGTTCCCTACACAGCATCAGATCCAAGTGACAGCTCCTTTCTTCATCTTAAAGATTTAAATTTTTAACTCTCTGCTTGCTTCATTCTTCTGTTGCCCATTACAGGATTTACATATCCGTAAGCTGGAGTGGGAGGGAATGCTCTCAGCAGAGGCAAATTTTGCCCTACTTAATAAAAAACGTAGTAATAAATTCCCAGGAAGGAGCAAAACTTCAGCACTTAATAAAAGCTCTAAAAACTTCAAATTCTTCTACCAAATCTCAACACTACCAGATTTCTCCAATAAACTTAAAAGAAAATTCATGACAAAGGACAGCTTAGCATCTAGTACTTTTGATTTCCTTTAAATATGTATGTTTTGGAAATCACTGAGGTTGCATGCATGGTAAAACCTGAATGTCTCCACGTGTGGTTGTCAAGGTAGGACTGATCTCACATTCTGTTATAGCTGTGCCTCTGATGTATAAGCAGTCTCTGACGAATTTGCTTGAAAAAACTAGTACCAAGAAAAGCTCTGAATTCTCCTAAAACCTGACAAACCCTGCCAGCAGAGAGGTGCAGACAAACCCTCATCACTAGAAATGGGATTCAGATCAAGTCACTGGCCACAATTTGAAATTAGTATTGTCTACATGCACTCAAACATCTTCTGAAATCATTTCACACCATACTACACTGTGAAAAGAAAATACAAAACAAACAATTGTTTAATATAAAAATAGGTATGTGGGTTTGTTACCTTGGAAGAGCATAGTCTGGCTAAAGTCACTACGCATTTCATTTCGGCAAACTGCTTGAACTCTGAACAGATAAAGGATGTCAGGTGAGACATGGCTAATGATGGCCTTCTGTTTAAAAAAAATAGATATTATTCAGTTTTTTACCCCCACAGTACTGTCCACGATCAATTTGAAATATATAAAGCATTGTGCTAACACAGGACATTTATGCCATGTAAGACAAACTGTATTTCTAAACCCAGAAATATTCACTGGTCCCTTGGAAGAGGGCAAGGCCCAAGGCCAAAGGGATGCACCCAGACTCTGCCCAAGAGAAAGAAATGAACATGTGCCACATCTATTCTCATGTCAGTCTTCATGCCTGAAAGTCTCTGCTTTCCTCAGAAAAAATTAAAGTTCAAGTCATTCAACCTTACAGGAACTAAAATAAGATTTTTATAGGTGGAGATCCATGTCCCAAACTGTATGTTCAAACATGGGATAACCCCCGAAAAGTCACTGCATGTTCAAACTGACTTTATTTTGCAACCAACTGGCTATGGCAATTTGATGCTGGTGTACTGTACAACATGATGGCTCAGCACCCTGGGCTGGGATATCCCTGCTTACTCCTAGACCTGAGAGACTGCTCTGATGCTTTCCAGAAACTCTTCTGTATTGCCTTAGTTCACAACCACATAGGTTCACAGCAGTAGCTGTGTGGGCCACTGGAAATACCTGTGGTGTCCTTAGCTAAACACTGCCTAGCTCTGATTCAAGATGGGACAGCCCAACTGTATCTGCCAGAAAACAAATTTGCACTTTCTTCTGAAAAAGGGTTTCCTTCTTCTCTTGCCCCTAAAATGGACTAAACTGTCATTACTTTCTTAACCTCCAAGCTCTGCTGAACAGCACAGGGTCTCACTGCAATCTTTCCAAACTATCACTCCGTCACATCCTCTGCACTTTTAATTATTTCTTTTACATAAAACAGGATGCTTTCATGATGCAAACCTCATTTTTGCTGATTAAGGCTTTCTTCCTTATACCTGATTAAAAAAAATCTCCCTTAAGAGTGTGAAATTATGGCAAGAGAGAGGTTACAATACATCATAACCTTGGGTGCCTTTCAATAGGTTCCTTTCTGATTTTGTGAGGCAGATTGTTCCCTAATGTGACCCAGATAACAATGTCTAGTGGGGAAATTGAAAATATAAATGGAAATGAAGTAAAAGAATCTTCATCTAAGGGAATAAGAGAAGTATTATTGTATAACTGATTGAATGGGCCCAGAGGACTGTGTATTTGAAAAAAAAATGGTAACAGTCATTAGGAATAACACTGTGCTGCTGCATTTTTCATGTGCATATACAATTACTGATTTCATTATTCTAGAGGCTTTCTTTGATTAACAATAAATGGAGGCCTTTCAAACCTGAATATGTCACTTTGATTTTATATGCAGAGAATGTTAAGGACCAGTACAATACTTGCTTCCACTTAGACAAGAATGACAAGCAGATGAAATCCTAAATGGAGGAGATAGAGCAGTGTTTCCATCTGTGCTGGAACTGTCTTGCTCTTCCCTCTTTTTCTCACACTGCCAGATGCAGGCAGTGCTTGTACAGGGCCACTCCACAATAATCTTCTAGCCCTGACTGTGCACTCCTGCCTCTGGCAGCCCTTACAGAAACTGCTCCAGAGACTGCAAGGGGCTGTGCACAGTGAAAAGCCTGAACTCAGGAACAGATTTTGGGGGGGATTGGACTTTTAATATGAAAATCTGTAATAGTCAGAGCCTGAACATTTCCTGAGCCAGCTGCTTCTCAGCCACAGTTTATGAAAAAGTGCCTGCAGATTTAGTCCTTTATGCACTCACATAAACTATAAATTCACACTCCAGTGTTTGGGGTAGCCTGTTTGGCAGCATTCAACTAATGCTGAACATTTAAATAGCAATTCATCACAAGTCAAACACTAGCCTGTCTATAAGGGAACAACTGCTTTCCTCCTCTACCTCCTTCTACAAAGAAAATAACAATGTAAGGATAGCTTGATACATATGTCTGGGTTTGATGCTGTGCTTTTACCAGGTCCTTGTCACTGTCCTTGGTGAAAGTCTTCTCCTTTTCATCTTCATTTTTAGCCCAGCTATATGAGATCATATAGTTCATGATTGGAGGGTGGTAGATGGTTTCTGGTTGGTTCCAGGTTACCAGTAATGCCGTCCTGTTCACAGGCTGCACTTTCATGTTGACTGGGGGAGTGCTGCAAGCTGAAACACAGAAGGAAAAAAGATGAAACTCTCCTAAATAACCAAGAGAAAACAGACAGGAAGAACTGTGTCTCGCTCTAAGAGCCAGGTTTTTTTCTTTAATGCCCTTGCCTACAGTAACAGCTTAGAGTGCAATCCAGTGAGACCAATGGGATTTAATACCACCTGCAGCTGCTTTCTGCTCTCCTGAGTAAAGTGAGAGAATCCATTCTCTGCAGGCAGGCTGCTTAGTTCTCGATTTATTTTCAGTCCTGACATCGTACATACACTTTAACTTCGTGACTTAAGAGCTCTACACTGGAACATTAAGAAGTCCAGTCGACCTGATCCACACCCTCCTGCTGTAAGGGGTTAACACCCCAGTGTACTCTGCTGGCCCTGGAAAGAGTTGAAACCTCTTGAAATGTAACACTATTGGGTCAGTAAGTATCCTCCTCGTAACTTAGTACATTTTTACATATGACAGAAATTATTTTATACTCCTCTTCCTATGTATTTTCCTTCAAGAGATGCTCACCTGTTTGCCAGTAGTGTATTGCTAGCACAGGAAAGAGTGGTTCTTGATGGCCTTGGGCCCCCAGCCAGCCTCCAAAAGCCCTGCCTTCCTAACCCTGCCTGTAGCATGGAGGCACAAGTCATTTTTCACCCACACTCAAGTGAGTGGGGACATCAACATAGGAACAGCTTAACCAGGGGGAAAAACACAGCCTCTGCTTGCAGCAGCACCAAACCCCAAACTTCTGCTGGGCAGACCAAATCCAGGTGCAAACCCAGCCCATCCACTCAAAGAGTGGAGTGTGCACAGCCCCCTCACAGCTGCTGAAACAAAAACACTTTTCAAGGTGTTGCCATGGAAGGGGCCGGGTGGGGAAGCACAACACTAGATGGCACTCACATGCTGTGGGAAAAATACATCATCCCCTTCCCAGCTATAAAGAGTTGAGATTTTTCTTCCCAAGCTTTAAAAATCATGTTTAAAATACCCAATTCAGGGCAGATTCTCACATTCTCTTTCCCAATATAAACTCTGAACCAAGAAAAATCACTTGCAATGATACCTAAACACATGTGCCATGGCAAAGGAGATGACCTCTTCTGCCAGGGAAAGGCAAAGTGTCACACAGCCCATCAGGCTGACACTGTTTGCAGAATTATTTTTCCCAATGCGACTTTTCCATTTAAAGCCAACACACTGAGCTTGTTTGCACTCTGCAGGTATGTGACTGTGTGTATATTTGGCCATTATTCCACTTCTAAAGAGTCCTGGCAGCACTGAAGGGGAAAAATGTCTATTCCTGTGTCTGGACATGCAGGTTGGTCAGGCAGCTCTGCTGTTACATTACTGAAACAGCTACAGTTCTTAAATAAAAATGATTAAATGCTTTGAGCACCAATACTACTACTACAATAGAAAAATATCTGTGAAATGCATTTGTGCACTTGTATAGCTCACATCTGTAGCTAGCCTGAACAAGACAACAAAAATTGCAGAAATACTCTTTGGGAAGGAAAGATCTTTGAATGTTTGCTCTTGCCATGAGGGGTGACAATCCTGCAGTTTTGCAGTAGATCCTTCTGCTCAACTGAGAAGGATGATCCAGCAAAGCAAACAAGCCCTACAGTACCTCAAACTGTTGAGAAAGCCTTCATGACTTTCTATTTACACAGAGTTGAAGGGATCAAAACAGCATTCTGCTGTCAATGGCACAAAGGCAGAAGCCAGACCATGGTCTGCTGCCTGCAGACACCTTCCCTCTGGCTCCCTCCCGGTCTCTGCAGGGAGCCCACAGAGCCAGGGTGCTGCAGAGCATGGCGTGAAGGTGGCCAGGACCTGGACAAGAGAGCACAGCTGAAAGCAGTTGATGTTATCACTATTCACAGAGCTTCCCAATCCTTGGTATGCCTCCCCATGCTCACCTCTTTCCGCTGAGATAGTCAGATCAATTCTCACTGACATCACTTTTTATTGATAACTGCACCAATAAATCATAACTGCCCCCTTTGACGCCCTTTGTCATCACAGAATTACACTTCAAAATGCCAGGCCAGCCTTTATCGCTCCACCTAATCAAATCCCATCAGAGATGGGAGCCTGGGTGAAGGACTACCCAGACCTAAAACCCTTATCCAGTCTTTGTCCTCCAGGAGGACATGCAGAGATTTATATATTTAAAGTAATCATGCAACAAATTGTTTTAGAAATAATTCAAGCAGGTAACCTTCCCGAGAGACAGAGAGATCTGCCTTAATTGCAATAACCCTCTGAAGGATGGCTGGCCAGCTGATTTGCAGACAAGCACCCCAAGCCACTCGAGGGAGAGGGGGCTGTCACGTGCCACTGGCTTTGATGACATTTGGAATAGCTCATGCCAGTCAGAGAAGGGAAGTGAGCATTTCCCAAGGGTAAACAGGAGACTCACAGGCTCAGAGAGACCCTCCCCGACCCTGCACCCTGATAAAAGAAGGTCATAAGCACTTCTAAGCACCTGAGTGACTCCAATGACTTCACTGAGGTCAAGCCTCATTCACAGCCAGCTAAAATGAGGCTGAATTTACAATATTGCTATTTCACAGTAAATATTACAAAATTTTTATTACTTAGTATGACTTTGTTCAAATTACTCCAAGGCACTTGATGTAATTAAGTAATAACCAACCTTTTCTGTTCAGTCACATTTTAACAGCTTATGAATGGGCAAAAAAGAATTTTTCTTTCCTTTTTTTTTTTTTAAATGAAACATACGGTTTTATTAATTTAACCAAACCTGCTTAGGACACAATGGAATAAAAAAACATTTGATCCAGTAATTCAATTTGATGATTTAATTAAAGTGATACATAGTAACATAGTGAACGTCTGAAAGGCAAGGAAAAAAGTGTAATGATTTGACCATCTATAAAACAACTGGCATTTCCCAGAGATCTAATTTTCCTTTCAATACTCTCTGTGCCTTGGATTTTTGAAAGATTAAAAGGATCACAGACTTCCTGCTTGCTTTTTTTTTTTTTTTTTTAGATGCTAAAGGACCTCTACTGATTTTGCAAAATGTGCAGCTAAAGGACAGATAGAAATGTGGGAAGAGGCTGGGACAGGGAGGAGGAAGTTTAATCAGAACACACTAAAAAGAAACACAGAAAGATAAACACAAGCTTTTCTTTTAATTTCCTTTTTTTTTTTTTAATAAAACCAGGCTTAATAAGCAAAAAAACCCGTGAATTCGTAATTGCTTGAGAAAAAAAAAAAAAAAAGAGAACCAAACTCAACAACCAGCATCATTTCACACTAAAATAGCATCTCAGCTAATTTTAGAAAAAATATTACTAATGCTTTCTTTTAAATTCACATCCTAAGTGATAACAAAATATTGTGGGGGATTTCAGGATATCTTTCTGTGGTGTAGTGCAATCCTGAGCAGATACCTTAACTGGCTCTGCACTGGTCTATAGCAGGACACCAAAGCCACTCTATCCAGGGCTAGCAGACCCCCAGGCCAAGGCTTCTGGAAGCAGAAAACCCTGGCTGGGGCCACAGTGCCACATCTCGGAGGCACTGAACATGGGAATGCCTCATTGCAGGCACAGGGACATGCCCTGGACCTCTTGCAGTGGAAAAAACACCCTCACCTTCCTGTCAGAGATGACCTGAAGGGGGAGAACCTGGAAGACAAGCTGACTCCTGCCTTATGGAAAAGTCCTGCAGAGGCAGGAGGGTTGGGCGGGTGCATCTGCAGGAAGCCCTCTGACCTGACAAAGGGCAGCCTCAGTGGCTCTTCCAGCTGCTGGCCATGTGTGGGGCTACTCAGGACCTCAATACAGGCTTTTCTCTGTAGATCAGCCCACTGGGGAAGGCAGGGGGCAAGCCAGGACTTTGGCCAGCCTCATCTTCCAGGGCTCACTCAAGCCTGGAGAAAACCTGTTTGCCACTGGCAGACAAATGCAGCATGCTAATACAGCCCTAAGCACTGGCCAGGCCAGCCATACAGCACAGAATTACTTTCTTCATGTTAAAAACATTCCAATGGGCTGGAACAAACAAAATTAATTTAACAACTCTGCATTCATCTCTCCCATAATTTGATTTGTATGTTGTATTTGGCTACGTAACCTCCACGAGGCTTTCCTAACTGAAGCCTGATAAAGCTTAATCCAAAAGCTCCTGGCAGCTTCATTTCAGAGAGCTGAAAGACAAAAAGGGGGCTTATTGTTTTGCAGAACTTAATTGCTGATATTAAGACACACCCAAGAACACAGAAAGGGCATGTAAGAGAATATTTCAGCTTTTTTTTGTTCGTATTATTCTTTAAAAGCAGCCTACGTTTCTCTTGCAAAGAGAGAAACGCAAAACCAGCCAAACTTTCCGGGTTTCATCATGCTTTCTGCATATCCTACCTGTGATTATCAAAAGAGCTATTTAGGGAAACTTTGAGAGAGTGCAAAAAATGTATATTCGGTTATTGCTTGTATACCTCCTCCCTGTAGAACAGGTGCCTCATATGATGAATCCAGTTGCACTGGGCTCAGCGGGATTTATAAAAACCTCTAAAAATGTTCTAAGTTAGCTCTTCCATGCATAAAAATGTCACCACTTTAAAGGCAGTTATTTCTAGCTGTGCTCTGCCCTCCTTTGGAAAATCCCACTCTCCCTCCCGCTGAATGTCTCAGCAACGCAAGACTGCCGCTCCTCTCCTTGGTGCTGTGGGATACACGTTGTGTGATGAAGCCCTGACAATTTTTGGCACAGAAAAGCAACATGCCAGTGAAGTCCTGAATTGCTCATTGCGAGATGGACATGAATCTTCTAAGGCAATTCCTACATGGAGGGAAGAAACATTGGCATCAGGATGTGCCCAGAGCAGGTTACTGGCTCGGGGCTGCTCAGTGGTAGGTAAAAGACTGGGACAAGGGTCTTGTCTTGCTCTGGGAGGCAGCTCCTGGCCATAAGGTGGGTGAGGTCTCACTTCTCCTATTCCTCACCAATCTGGATGTGCATGGGATGAGTG